AAACATTTGTGAAATGAGTTGCAATAACGGAGAAAAGTATCATTAATTATTATCGTTTTGAAGTACTCCTCATTAAGCTAATACGACGTAATGTGACTTTAAACTGTCTGGTAAAAAAAAAAAAATATTAAAAAAAAATATTGCGATCGTATGGAATTATAAATGTACTTTTTAAACGATCAAGAAAAATATCAAGAAAGTAAAATATCGTGAGTTTCCTTTTGCAATGATTCTATAACAATCTAACTTTTCCAATCATTTAACTTCGTTTCTTCGATATTCTTACGTCGACAATTTCTGTATTTTTAATCTCATGAAATCGGCAAAGGAAACGAAAAGAAAACCCGTTTCAAACCCGTATTGTTGCAATGAAATCGGCACGAAGAACGAGAAGAAGACAGGTTTACCGAGGAAAAAGTATAGTCAAGGAAAGAACCGCAAAGTCCGAGAGAGTAAAATGGGAAAATCAGAGAGACAGTTTCGTCTTCCGATCGTTTAACTTTCTTTCTTCATTTCATGATTTTCCTTTACCATGAACATAGAATTAACGAACCAAAGTACAAAGTAATAAAACATGAGATCAATCCTATTCGTTCCAATGAAAATTTTATGCGGAATACATTCGACCTATTTTCTCTAAATTTATATAGAACCATTAGACTCATCAAAGAATCCGTATATATATATATATATATATATATATATATATATATATATTACATATATGCATATATACATGTGAATACATAAGAAACGTAGAAATCATCAAAGTCTCTTTTAAAATTTAATGTAATTTCACGAATAAGATTTGACCTCGCAATTTATTAATATATAGATTTTTAACTGAGGTATTTTGAGCATACGTATAAAATTGTAAAATTGGTAACAAAAATGGATACTTTCTTATTTAACTCTGTAAGTGATTGATAACTCAATTTTCATCCGTTCGTAAACTTCTCTTAATAATAAGTTTTCATCCTTTTATGCTTTCCAAAAAAAAAAAAAAAAAATAAAAAAAAAAAAAAAAAATAAAAAAAAGAGAAAAGAAAAATATCAATTTACGCTTCGAAAATATTTCTTTTTCTATAATCAATCTTTCCTTTTTTATTTCTTATCAAATATATTGACTACATGTGACGATAAATCATTATTAGAGAAAACTATCTAAATTTCATCGTTCGTCGTAATTAAAAGCGAATTGTGTCATTTAACGAATACGCTATTGGAAAAAGAAAGAATTAACGAATAAATTGAAACAATTCGGTGAGAGAATAATTCCTATACTCTATAGGAAAAAGCAAGGAAGAGAGAAAAAGATAGAATGGGGTTTGTGAAGAAAAACGAATGGAAAAGACCGTAGAAACAATTAGCGTGAATTTCACGCCGGAGACTTTGATGCAGTTTTCACGTTTCCCCGATTGTTTTAGAACCGTTGAATTTTCCCGACAAACCGGGAAAGAGGTAGAGCGAACGTGCGCTCACGCAGAGGGGCTCGCCAGTTAAGCCAAATTCAGACCAGAAATTAGAGCGAATCGTCTGTTTCAGACTGTTCTGACTGTCTATCTGTTGACGGTAGACGCTTCGAGCGAACGAGGAACGTTCAAAATTTCGTCCACCACGAGAGAAAGTCCGTCGGATGCATCGTCACTCTTGATGTTTCACATTGAAAGAAAATCTCAATTGTATTCAATAATAATCAAACCTTCTAACAGTAGATCTTTCTGTTTGTCCAATAAAATCCCTGAAAATCAACAATTTTATTTTCTATTTTTTTTTCTTTCTTTTTTCTTTTTTCTTTTTTTTCCCCTTTTGATTCAATCAAATTTATAAAAATAATGAATTTTTTTATTATATAAGAAAGATTAGGTTCGTAATGGATTATATGCTAGAAGGATTTATTTAATGTATTATTATTTCTACGATTTTCATTCAAAGTATAATAGAAGTAGTAGGAAGATGAAGAGAAAGAGAAAGAAATATTGCCTTGAGCAATGTAATCGCGGAAATGAAATGGATCTTCGCTTGAATATAATACTTTTTCTTGAGCATAAATAAATTTATCAAAAGTGGATCTTATTTTTTGATAATCAAATTTTTCTCAAGTCATTTCTTAAAATTCTGCTTATTGAATGAAATGATAAAAATAATGACGCAAGTTTTGAAATCTATCAGACAACGAGAAGTCTTGTCACATTACTTTTATAACTCATTTTTCTCCATTGTAATGTATTTATTTGTATTCTTTAGAAAAATATATAAAAAAAAATATATATATATAATTACAACAAAGAAAAAAAGATCATGACTCTGAAATCTCCAAAATTGATTGTGAGAAAAAAATTCTTCCTTCGTTGTTATATTTACTTTGTCGAAGGGTAAAACTTTCGACTGACAATAAGAAATTTTTTCATATATTCACGAACAACGAAAATATTACATTTAGATATTTCCATTTCTACACTTTTGTACCTTATGAAAGAAAAACAGATTTTACAATTGTAATGAAATAGCTGATACTATTATATATTACAAGAATGGAAATTGGAAAGTTTTTTTCTATTTGCCTTGCAAATATCACATATATGAATTATATATTATTTAACAAAGTGTATTCTATGAGAAAATATTGAGTTAAAATTTTCTGTATTAAAAATGTATATAAAAGCTTAATCAAAAATTAATAAATTGAATTTCATATACGAAATTGAAAATAAAATATGTCCTTTGAACAATTCAAGATCCCATGATTTATCCAATGTACAAAGGCAGTTTAACAGAAATAACAACAATCACGAGAGTGTTATAAGTAGTTTTTAAAACTCATAATTATTTTCCTGAGTAAAACTCCATAAAGCAATATAACCTTTCGAGCTACAAGAGCCTTTCACTACGCTCGACGAATGGCCAAAACTTTATATTGTGTTCGAAAATATATTTATTCAAAGAGCAATTTATTTTAAATAACGAAGATGAAACTGAAATACGTGACATTTGCGTTTTTCTTGTCAGTTTGTATGTAAAAGCGTGGATTCGAGCCCCAATCAAGCTTGCGGAAGCTCCACGTCAAGACTTAGAGTTTCTGCAACAACAGTATGCATATCGTCAAATTGACGAAAGGATAAGCCATGGAGAAAAAAAAAAAAAAATTTTTCCAGTATCTGGCAGTAGAAATGTCAAAGTTAGCCTTTTTTTTTTGACGAAGCGATGGTGGAAAAATTACAAATGGTGAAAGCAATAAACAACGAGACTAGAAATAACTCATATAAAAGATTTAAAATTGTTACCCAGGATATGAAAAACTATATTTTAACGTAAAAATCGATCACTTTACTTCCCTACATTCGAAAAGATTTTACAAAAGATTTTTCAATTTCGATCGAATTTCTGATAAAAAAAAACTTTTGGTGCATGGGAAAAATAAGAGCGATTACATATACGGATTAAACGATTAACGAGTTAACATATACCAGGGTCAAGAGTTAAAAGTTGTTAACGACATCGCTGAGTGTGATATTAAATTTGTCCAGGATTATAATACCCAAAGTATTATACACAAATAAAGAGAAATAATAATTTATATTACAAATTGTTTCCAAAAACATAAAACAGTTTGCCGATGTTACAAAACGTACTTTATTAAAAGATGTATAAATTATATTTATTGCAATTTGAAAAATAAAAGATTAAGACAATGACAATATTTTCATTTTTTATTCCTCTAAACATTTCATTTCAGTTTTATAATTTTCATTATATTATATATTATATATGGTGGACCTTTTAAATAGAAATATCTTCATTATTCGTGAATATATGAAAAAAAAAAAAAAATATCTTAGACGAAAGTTATACCGTTCGAAGAAATAAACATATTGTCGACAAAAAAAAAAATATTCTCAAGTTCCTCAACGAAGAGAAATGAAACGAATATAACGTTATTATACTTCCTTCTTCTCATAATGTCCGCTGGGTATCAACTTTGTCAGAGTGGTACAAAATTATTTTTATCGATGTGCTTTTTTTCTTTCTTCCTCTCTCTCTCTCTATCTCTCTCTCTCTCTCTCTCTCTCTCTCTCTTTCTTTCTTACTCTTCCATGGTATGTTGTGTTCAACACGCACGAGCATTTATCGTATACATCACGACCCGAAGGCGATTTTTAAAGTTTCCTAGAAACTCTCAACTTGACGGTAACTTAGTGAGTTACGTTATTAAGAAGGAAGTATCTCGGTTTAATGGAATCACTACAAAGTGCTCGTGGAAATTCTCTTACGAGAGAAACAAGATAAAGGAAACAAGTAAACTGGTATTCACAACTTGTTAAAACTATGACGTCGGTCGGTTGATGCCATCAATGATCCTTACTAAGAAAGTTCAAAGAAATCAAGGATCAGTCTTTCTTCCCCCTTTAAAACTCACCGCTATACTATTCCGATATTTTTCCCTTTCGCGGAGAATTTTATGACAAAAAAAAAAAAAAAAAAAAAAAAAAAAAAACAAAAACAAAAAGAACAAAAAAGAAAAAAGAAAAAAAAGAGAACGAAAAGAAGAAAAATAAAAAAAAGAAAAGAAAAATGAAGAAGGACGGGAAGAAAAATCGATGGAAAAACATTGCCGTCATTTCCATAGATTTCGAACAATACGTCTGAAAAAGGAACAATGATACGGGGATAAAAAAGGAAAGAAATAAAGAAGTTGAAAATGATGCATAGTTCTATGAGATAAGAAGGAGAAGAAGAAGAAGAAGAAGAAGAAAAAAAATAATAATCAGGAAAGATAGAAATAAAAGAGATCTGTAAGAAACAAAGAACCATTCGTTGTGAAGCCAATGGCAAAATTCTCATTGACCGCATTCGTTATTGTCCCGGGATTCTCGTTTAAAAGAACTTCCTGTAGTAAATATTGCGTTGATGAGCTGTTTGCCAGTGTTAGTTAGTTCGGTTGGCCGGTTTAAATCGATGGAATAGCGTAAATATAAAGCACCAAGCTCGATATCACTCAC